GAAAAGACCGGCGCCGAGAAAGAGAACGTCTCGAACCTGACCACGTACATCGGGGCCCCCATGAACGCGAAGATAAAGGCGCCCGCGCATCCGGCGCCCGCAATTCATCGGCAACCCACGGTGACAAAAGGCCCCCCTCGCAGCCAGCCGAATCACGCTCGGGGAGAGCATCGGGACAAGCAGCTCGAGCAGGCAGATCCCCGGCCCGCCAGGCGCAGCAGGCGCCCACCTTTGCCATGGATACTGGAGAAGAAGAACCGCACGTTTCCCCTCGCGCTGCTGCCGACGCTGCTCCTCAACGACACCAAGATGGCGTCTGGACTGAACCTCGTGCACAGCAGCCAGCTGCAGCACCTCGTCCCGATCCATTGGCAGGAGCAGCAAATCCTTGGCGTGAAGGAAGCGCGGCCTCACTTGCTCATGCTGCCGCAGCACGCGGCCATGGTCTACTTCCAGCCGCTGGAGGGGCCGCCACCATCGGAGCCACCACCGCGCATCATGATGAAACCGACCAAGCCACGCCACCTGTGCCTGAGCTCGCTCGTCTCCCTGGACTGGGCCCTGACCTGGACAAAGCGCTACAACAACTCACGCAGTCACAAGTCGCACACGCAGCAAGTACCTTCCAAGCGCAGGCCAATCAGCTACTTAAGCAATCCAGGGAAAGCTTTCGTCAACTTCTCACACAGCAAGTTCAAGCCACTGAACGCCGAGTCGACTCCCTTCGGAAATAGGACAGACAAGCTGCAGACCAGCAAACGATGTGGCAGCATATCGACCAGATGCGCGAGGCGCTCGCGCTCGCCGAGGCGCAGGCGCCGATCGCGGACCTCGCCGGGCTCGCCGACTGGGACCGCGCGATCGACCCGACGATCTTCACCATCGGAGCCCCACGCTTCATCGCGCCTGGCGTGCTCCTCAACGGCCTGCAGGAGTGGATTGCTTCCGCCAACCTGGACACGGACGCCGTCGAGCTATGTGGAGATGAGCCTGCGCGCCGTTTCATTCTTCAAGTCAAAGGAGACCGCGCCCTCGCAGTTCCTCGAGCTCTTGCTCTTGCTCTCTCTCTCTCTCTCTCTCTCGAGCCTTTCGCGACGCTGCAGGGAAGTGGCGGCGATTCACATCAACGGACACCACGGGCGTGCCGACTGACATCTACCTCAACCCTGACAAAGCCTCCAAGCCGATCCGCACCGAGATCCAGTGCAAGAGAATCCTCCGACTTCTCCAGCATCGCCATCCGCGAAAGGCCTGGGCAGCAGGCCGCGCCAAGGGCGAGATCCACTGCGACGCCATGCCCGTCGCGCGCCTTGACGTCAAGGGCCAAGCCGACCCCGCCATCCTGGAGTGGAACGAGAAGGCCTTCGAGCTTGCTCATTTCCGCGACATCGATCGCGGCGCCGTCCTCGCTTCTTTCCAGGCGCCCTTCGCGGACACGGCTGAGGCTACGTGGCGGGTTTAGCCACCCCTGGGCACAGTGGAAGCCAGTGGGGGACAACTTGCCCTGCTCGTTCATCACCTGGAACGCCCGCGCGCCCATGTGCCACAAGCGCTCGAAGCGCCGTCGCAAACAGGCAGCCCTGCAGCAGTACATTCGCCAGCGCGCTGCCATTGTCCTGCAGGAGGTCCACGGCTCGGAGAAGCTTCTTCGCGCGTGGGTCGGCACCCAGCCCTGCCCGCACAAGCTCTTCTTCTCGCAGTTCGTCGACGAGTCCGCCGATGATGCGCGCGCGGGCACGGGCGGCGTGGCCGCCCTCATCCCGCGGCTCACGCGCGCGCAGCTGGAGCAGCTGCAGCCGTCCCAGCTCCCGACCTTCGCCCGCGATGGGCACGTCAAAGGCCGCCTCCAGATCGTCGCCGTCACTAACGCAGTCACCCGCAACACCATCCTCATCATGAGCGTTCACAATCACGAGATCGACGCCAGGGGTCGTGATCGCATTCGACGAGCCATGCACCAACACCGCACGCGGGCGGAAGCCAACTACCTGCACCGCACCTTCCTTGCCCTGGGCGACTTCAACACTGCCAGCCGCCCGCCGAACAGCTTCTTCCAGACGCTGCCACAGCGCGCCCGCCTCGCGCTCGACAACAGTGCTCGGCAGCAACAGCCGTTCTTTAAGGCTCTGTTTGACAGCGTGCTGGAGATCGAGTCCGACATACCGACGCGCTTCAACCAGTCCGACTTCACCGCTTCAGCCATCGACCGGGTCTTCATCAGCCTGCCGTCGCCCGCCACGCTTGAGGTCACATCGGTCATCCGCATCGCCCACGACCCTGCCATCCTCTCGGGCCGCCTTCTCAGCGACCACGCCATCGTCTCCTACGCCATCGGTATCAAGCCGAGGACGCCGCCAGTGGAGCAGGCTATCCCCCCGGCCATATTCCGCGACCCCTTGTTCGCCGAGTACCTCCAATAGATGCCCGACCACGCCGTCGCGACCCACCTGCCGATCGCGAACCGCTGGCGCGCGCACAAGCGTCTCATGGTTGAGGCTGCCCGTCTTGTTCGCGATGATTGGGTCAGCCGTGCAGCTGGAGAGATCGGCAAGACAGACCATTCAGAAGGCCAGGTGACCACGGCGCGCTCGATCTCGCGAGCGATCTGGCGCCAGGACATCCATCTAGCACGCCGTCTGCAGTCCACCACCGAGCTTGGCTTAAAGTACCTCGTTCTGGACGACGGCGTCATCGCGCTCTCGGACGCCGCCGAGTTCGCCGCGAAGTCCTCCGCCCTGCACAGCGACTTCGAGGCTCGGTAACGCTCTCCGGCTCAAAGAGCGGCCCAGCTGCCGCGGGGCTCGCCTGGGGCCATCGAGCCCGAAAGGCTCCGAAAGATCACCCGTGCGCCCCAGCGCAGAGCCCCCCTGTGGGCCTTTGGAAGCGCCGTCTTGTCCTCCAGGGCATCAGAACCACCGGCCCTGCGGGCCTTCCGACGGTGGCCAGAGAGAGTTGTGCGATGGTGGGCGCACTTCGCGACCACGGGCGCCCTGTCTTCGAGCGCAAGCAGGTCGACGAAGTGAAGGTCAAGCAGTACATCGCATCGCACGCGCCGCTCTTTCCCACCATTGACGTTTGCGCACTACCAAGGCGCAGATCCGCGGCTTCTTGCAGCGCGCTGCGCCGTCTGCGCCTGGGCCTGGCCTCTTGCCGTACCGCGCCCGGCTCGCCGTCGACGCGTCCTTGGATTTGCTCGAGGACCATCCCGACAGCGACCTCTCGTTGCTGCGGTCGATCCAGCGGACTGCGCTGGCCTTCATTCTGCACAACAAATTGAAGCACGCCGCGCCGACCCCAGCCACGATAGCTGAAGGGTTGAGCGCCGCCAAAGCATTGCTCTGGAAGTAGGCCGGTTCCAGTGGACTGACGCGTGCGGACAATTTGCCCTCGTCTCACGTCTTGCCCGCGTGCCCTCGCCTCGTCCTTTTGGAGTACGTGGATTCCTCCTCCTCCTGGCTCAAGGGATCAAGGGATTGAAGCGAAGACCGCATAGCGAACACCCGCATAGCAGTCATGGCTATCCATGCCCCGCCTGGGGTCACACGACCATCTTCCTGGCCGACCCGGAATGCCCGTCGTCATGCAGCGACGGCGTCATTCAACGCAGCCGCATTCGAGATGTTCAACACCGCGTTGCAGAAAATCGTGGCGCTCGAGACGACGCTAGACACCGTCGACGGCATCGAGCGACAGGTCATTGACGTAAAGACCTTGGTGATCGACGTGCGCGCTGATGTGCTATCGCCTCCGCCCCCACGTCGCAACTTTCAGAGACGAGTTTCAGGACCTCGACGAGAGGGGCATCGTCATGAAAGAGGTGTTGCCCGAGATCCCTGCATACCCGACGCTCAAGGATGCGAATGACGACCCAGATGTCAAAAAGGTACATGAACGTGAACGGCGACCCACACGCAGAGCTCAAGGCGCCAGGGAAAAAGGCTGCGGATGAGGAGACCGCGATAACAGACATCCCATTCAAGAAGACGGACGCTGAGGTGAGCAAAAACGAGGACATGAGGGACGAAAATCAGCCGGAGCAAACCGAGATATCCATCACGCTCGATTTCGACGCCCAGGACGAGAAGGAAACGGAGGAGCATGAGAAGGGGGGCGCGGAGGATGTGGGGAACAACGCAGAGGGCGAGCGCGAGAAGGTATATTTCGATGGCGACGCCGAGGAGGAGAAGAAGGAGTGTGAGGAGGAAGCCCCGGCATGGTTCAAGCAGGCCCTGAAGAGATGGGGCGACAAGTACGGCGACGACGACGACAATGACTGAATCCGGGGCCGCGTACTACTTCGCCCTCATGTTCTATTTGTGCCGGTTGATGTCCCATTTCGACCACACGCTCTATGTGTTTCGGCTCGTGGACTCTGCCATCCAGAGCTTCTGCACCCACACGGTCTGAGGCTACGGCCTCCTGCGCCTTGCCCAAAGGGCACGGGCACCCCCAGAGCCCGGAACCCGCGCCTCCGCTCCGCTCCGCTCCGCTCCTCCTCCTCCTTATGTTCCTCCTCCTCCTCTTCCTCCTCCTCCTCCTCCTCCTCCTCCTCCTCCTCCTCCTCCTCCTCCTCCTCTCTTCCCTCACTCACTTCCCTCTCCCCCTCCCCCCGACCTTCGATCTTGCCCCAGGAGGGCTCACTTCGGTTCGATCGATCCAGTTCGGTTTCGGGTTCTGGCGGCTCGATTCGTTTTGATTCCGCCTTTCCCGCCGATCCGGTGCGGCCCGATGCTCCCGCGGCGTTCTGACGCATCCTGGCACAACCGACTTGATCCGATTTCGATTCCGCACCCATGCAGCCCGATCTGATCCACAGTCCGATTGGATTGGATATTCCGATTCATTGCTGGTTGATCTTGTTTGAGGAAGGTCTGCCGACCTTCCAGTCCCTGCCAATCATTCCGGCCCTGGTCACTTCCTTTTCGTGGACTTTCCCACATCCTTAGCTTTTGTGTACTTCCAACACATCGACCTCCGATTCTTGATCCTGCCCTGAGCAGGCCTTCGCCCTCTTCGAGCCCTGCCACAGCGGAGATCTGCTGGAACCTTACCTGGAGGCCCAGGGCTGCGGGGCCTTGCTGCTGCAGATCGCGAGCTGCAATTTCACAGGCCGACGCCATATAGAGGGGTTGAGGAGGAGGAGGAGGAGGAGGAAGAGGAGGAGGAGGAGGAGGAGGAGGAGGAGGAAAAGGAGGAGACGGAGGAGCACGAGGAGGAGCAGGAGGAGGATTGGGTGGAGCAGGAAGACGATTGTTTTGTCACCCGCAGCCGTGAGCCCCGACCGCATGGAGCAACCATTAGCCTGGCGAAGGACCCAACCATATGCAGTTGCGAGTACCCCCGTTGTATGCACCGCATTCGGAGGAGTTTTTTCTAGGGCCACGAAACGTGTGAGGTGTGTGCCAAAAATTGCCCGGTGGGCCCATGCGAAAGCAGCCACATGGGCCGTCGGTGGAATTACCTATGGGGCCACGATAAGCGTGAGAGGTGTGCCGAAATAGGTGCGGTGGGCGCATGCGAACGCAGCCACTGGCGCCTTCGGTGGAGCTCCCTATGGGGCCACGAAACGCGTGAGGGGTGTGCAGAAACGTGTGTGGGTGACGCATGCGAACGCAGCCACTGGCGCCTTCGGTGGAGCTCCCTATGGGGCCACGAAACGTGTGCGTGGTGTTACGAAACGTGCGTGGGTGACGCATGCGGGCAGTGGCACTGGGGCCTTCGGTGGAGCTTCCTATGGGGCCACGAAGCGTTTGAGGGGTGTGCCTAAATGGATGTGGGTCACGCGTGCGGGCGGTGGCACTGGGGCCTTCGGTGGAGCTCCCTATGGGGCCACGAAACGTGTGAGGGGTGTGCCGAAATGGATGTGGGTAACGCTTGCGGGCGGTGGCACTGGGGCCTTCGGTTGAGCTCCTTTTGGGGCCACGAATCGTGTGAGGTGTGTGCCGAAATGGATGTGGGTAACGCGTGCGGGCGGTGGCACTGGGGCCTTCGGTGGAGCTCCCTAAAGGGCCACGACACGTGTGAGGTGTGTGCCGAAATGGGTGTGGGTAACGCATGCGGGCGGTGGCACTGGGGCCTTCGGTGGGCTCCCTATGTGGCCACAACACGTGTGAGGAGTGTGCCGAAATGAGTGTGGATAACGCATGCGGGCGGTGGCACTGGGGCCTTCGGTGGAGCTCCCTATGGGGCCACAACACGTGTGAGGGGTGTGCCGAAATGGGTGTGGGTAACGCATGCGGGCGGTGGCACTGGGGTCGTCGGTGGGGCTCCTTTTGGGGCCACGAAGCGTGTGAGGGGTGTGCCGAGATGGGTGTGGGTGACGCATGCGGGCGGTGGCACTGGGGCCTTCGGTTGAGCTCCCAATGGGGCCACGAAACGTGTGAGGTGTGTGCCGAAGTGGATGTGGGTAACGCTTGCGGGCGGTGGCACTGGGGCCTTCGGTTGAGCTCCTTTTTGGGCCACGAAGCGTGTGAGGGGTGCGCCGAAATGGATGTGGGTAACGCATGCGGGCGGTGGCACTGGGGCCTTCGGTGGGGATACCTATGGGGCCACGACACGTGTGAGGGGTGTGCCGAAATGGGTGTGGTAACGCGTGCGGTCGGTGGCACTGGGGCCTTCGGTGGAGCTCCTTGTGGGGCCACGACACGTGTGAGGGTTGTGCCGAAATGGGTGTGGGTAACGAATGCGGGCGGTGGCACTGGGGCCTTCGGTGGAGCTCCCTAAGGGGCCACGAAACGTGTGAGGGGTGTGCCGAAATTGGTATGGGTAACGCATGCGGGTGGTGGCACTGGGGCCTTCGGTGGAGCTCCCTATGGGCCACGAAACGCGTGAGGGGTGCACCGAAATGGAAGTGGGTAACGCATGCGGGCGGTGGCACTGGGGCCTTCGGTGGGGATACCTATGGGGCCACGAAGCGCGTGAAGGGTGTTGCGAAATGGGCGTCGGTAACGCATGCGGGCGGTGGCACTGGGGCCTTCGGTTGAGCTCCCTTGTGGGCCACGAAACGTATGAGGTGTGTGCCGAAATGGATGTGGGTAACGCGTGCGGGCGGTGGCACTGGGGCCTTCGGTGGAGCTCTCTATGGGGCTACGAACCGCGGTGCTGGGTGGGTGAAGCGCAGGGAAGGGGGAGGAGGAGGGGGGAGGAAGGAAGGAAGGAGGAACGCGGGGACCGACTCTTCAAAACGAGGACCCAACACCACAGGATGGTTGGCAAATGTAGACAGGCCGACCGTGATTCCAGCCCGTTTGGAATGGAGCCTTCTGCAGATCAATTTCCAGCTCTCGTTCTTGAAGGCTCTGCAAGGGGAGCCCAAGCTACGGCCAGCTTGGCGAGACGAGCGCCAGAGGTGATGCATTCCGCCACGCTTGTTTAAGCAAGCGTAAGGTTAAATCGGGCCTGTCCCTCTACAGGAGGAATGTTCAATTAGCCCGGCGAAGGGCCCAACCATATGCAGTTGTGAGCACCCCCGTTGTATGCACCGCATTTGGAGGAGCTTCTTATAGGGCCACGAAACGTGTGAGGGGTGTGCCAAAAAATGCCCGGTGGGCGCATACGAAAGCAGCCACTTGGGCCGTCAGTGGAATTACCGATGGGGCCACGAGACGTGTGAGGGGTGCGCCGAAATAGGTGCGGTGGGCGCATGCAAACGCAGCCTTTGGGGCCGTGCCGACATGGGTGCGGTGGGCGCATGCGAACGCAGCCACTGGCGCCTTCGGTGAAGCTCCCTTTGGGGCCACGAAACGCGTGAGGGGTGCGCCGAAATGGGTGGGGGTGACGCATGCGGGCGGTGGCACTGGGGCCTTCGGTGGAGCTCCCTATGGGGCCACGAAACGCGTGAAGGGTGTGCCAAACGCGCGGGGCTGACGCATGCGGGCGGTGGCACTGGGGCCTTCGGTGGAGCGCCCGCCCTATGGGGCCACGAAACGTGTGAGGGGTGTTGCGAAATGGGTGTGGGTGACGCATGCGGGCGGTGGCACTGGCGCCTACGGTGGAACTCCTTATGGGGCCGCGAAACGCTTGAGGTGTGTGCTGGAATGGGGGTGGGTAACGCATGCGGGCGGTGGCACTGGGGCCTTCGGTGGAGCTCCCTTTGGGGCCGCGAAACGTGTGAGGGGTGTGCCGAAATGGGGGTGGGTAACGCATGCGGGCGGTGGCACTGGGGCCTTCGGTGGAGCTCCCTTTGGAGCCACGAAGCGTGTGAGGGGTGTGCCGAAATGGGGGTGGGTACCGCATGCGGGCGGTGGCACTGGGGCCTTCGGTGGAGCTCCCTATGGGGCCACGAAACGTGGGAGGGGTGTGCCGAAACGGATGTGGGTAACGCGTGCGGGCCGTGGCACTGGGGCCTTCGGTGGAGCTCCCTATGGGGCCACGAAGCGTGTGAGGGGTGCGCCGAAATGGAAGTGGGTAGCGCATGCGGGCGGTGGCACTGGGGCCTTCGGTGGGGATACCTATGGGGCCGCGAAAAGTGTGAGGGGTGTGCCGAAATGGGGGTGGGTAACGCATGCGGGCGGTGGCACTGGGGCCTTCGGTGAAGCTCCCTATGGGGCCACAAAACGTGAGAGGGTTGTGCCGAAATGGGTGTGGGTAACGCCTGCGGGCGGTGGCCCTGGGGCCTTCGGTGGAGCTCCCTATGGGGCTACGAAGCGCGGTGCTGGGTGGGTGAAGCGCAGGGAAGGGGGAGGAGGAAGGAGGAAGGACGGAAGGAGGAACGCAGGGACCCTCTCTTCAAAGCGAGGACCCAACACCACAGGATGCCGGGGAAAAAACAGTAAAAAGTAGTAGGGGGACGATTTTCTGAATATGTTTGATCGTTCTTGGAATATTTGTGGGGTAGTTTTTATTTGTTCGTCCTAAATCCCCCTGTAAGGGGACATGCCCGACCTAAACGTACGGAAGAGGAGGTGGAGGATCGTGTCGAACAACATGTGCACGCTGATTCTCACAGGCACGGCGCCACGCCCCGTTTGCCCTGCGCGCTTGGGAGGCGAGTCCAGCGCCGATCCAAGAAATCGGCGAGGACCTCTGAACATTTTCAAGTTTGTTTGTGTCGTGTTCCGACTTTCTGGAGGAGGAGGAGGAGGAGGAGGAGGAGGAGGAGGAGGAGGAGGAGGAGGAGGAGGAGGAGTACGACGAGGAGGAGGAGGAGTACGAGGAGGAGGAGGAGGAGGAGGAGGAGGAGGAGAAGAGGAGAGAGAGAGAAGAGGAAGAGGAGAAGAGGAGAAGAGGATGAGGAGGAGGAGGAGAGGAGGATGAGGAGAGAGAGGAGAGAGAGATGAGGAGGAGGAGAGGAGGAGGGAGGAGGAGGAGGAGGTGGAGGAGGAAAAGGAGGAGGTGGAGGAGCAGGAGGAGGAGCAGGAGGAGGAGGCGGAGGAGGAGGAGGAGGATCAGGAGGAGGAGGAGGAGGAGGAGAAGTAGGAGTGGACCAGGACCCCCCCTTCGGCGCCTTCGGCGCCAGATTGTCCAGCTTCTGCACCCCCTTCCCCCCAGCAGATCCTGTCTTTGCGGAGGGGGCGTGGGCATGGCTGCATGCTTGAACTTGCCCACAGTGCCACAGAGTCGGCGGATCCGGAGGAGTGGGCTTGTGGCAACAAGTGGAACAACCCTTGGGCCAAAGTTTGCTATCACTGTGGTACGTCCCTACCGCCGAGCTACCAACCCCTCATCCTTCTCGCTCAGGGTTGGGTCCCGCCTCCCCCAGGGAAAGGTTCAGCAGGTTACATGTACAACAACCTCCACCAGCAGTACATGGGCCACATGGGCGGAGGGGGCGGGAAGAAGGGAGTTGGCGGCAAAGGAGGACGTGGACAGAAGGGCAATACCAAGGGCAAGAAAGGAGGAGGACAAGGGGGACCAGGGCGAGGTGGAGCTGGAGGAGGTGCTGGAGGTGCTGGGGGAGAAGGAGCAGCAGCAGGTCGTAAAGGCATGCCTACCCTCCATGGCCTTCACCAAGTGGTGCAGCAAACGCGCTCCAAACACAATGACCTCCCCATCGAATTCGTGGAGCAGCTCGAAGAAATATATGCAGCAGCCCAAGCACAACGATGGGAAAAAAGCACCCCCCAGCAAGCAGCTGCAACATCATGAGCAAGCAGTACTACGCAAGGAAA